ATGATTTTGATCATAATTAGCATAGTAATCATAATAAATGATGGTTACCATGGCAACCAAGATGATCATTATGATCATTTTGACCATAATTAGAATATTAATCATAATAAATGATGGTTGCCATGGCAACCATGATGCTCATTATGATGATTTTGATCATAATTACATATTAAATATAATAAATTATGGTTACCATGGTAACCATGATGCTCATTATGATGATTTTGATCATAATTAGCATAGTAATCATGATAAATGATGGTTATAATGGCAACCAAGATGATCATTATGATCATTTTGACCATAATTAGAATATTAATCATAATAAATAAATGAGGTTGCCATGGCAACTATGATGATCATTATGATGATTTTGATCATAATTGCATATTAATTATAATAAATGATGGTTGCCATGGCAACTATGATGATCATTATGATGATCTTGATCATGATTAGCATAATAATCATAATAAATGATGGTTGCTATTATAACCATGATGATCATTATGATGATTTTTATCATAATTAGCATATAATTATAATAAATGATGGTGCCATGGCAACTATGATGCTCATTATTATGATTTTTATCATAATTAGCATATTTATCATAATAAATAATGGTTGCCATGGCAACTATGATGCTCATTATGATGATTTTGATCATAATTAGCATAGTAATCATAAAAAATGATGGTTATAATGGCAACTAAGATGATCATTATGATCAATTTGACCATAATTAGAATATTAATTATAATAAATAATGGTTGCCATGGCAACAATGATCCTCATTATGATGATTTTGATCATAATTAGCATATTAATCATAATAAATGATGGTTACCATGTCAACCATGATGATCATTATGATGATTTTGATCATAATTAGCATATTGATCATAATAAATTATGGTCGCGATGGCAACCATGATGCTCATTATGATGATTTTGACCATAATTAAATATTAATCATAATAAATGATGGTTGCCATGGCAACCATGATGCTCATTATGATGATCTTGATCATAATTAGCATATTAATCATAACAAATGATGGTTGGCATGGCAACTATGATGATCATTAGATGATCTTGGTCATAATTAGCAATTAATCATAAAATGATGGTTGCTGTGGCAACCATGATGCTCATTATGATGATTTTGATCATGATTAGCATATTAATCATAATAAATTATGGTTGATATGGCAACTATGATGACCATTATGATGATCTTGATCATAATTAGCATATTAATCATAATAAATAATGGTTGCCATGGAAACTATAATGATCATTATGATGATCTTGATCAAAATTACCATATTAATCATAATAAATGATGGTTACCATGGCAACCATGATGATCATTATGATGATCTTGATCATAATTAGCATATTACTCATAATAAATGATGGTTGCGATGGCAACCATGATGCTCATTATTATGATGTTGATAATTATTAGCATATTAATCATAATAAATTATAGTTACCATAGCAACCATGATGCTCAATATGATGATTTTGATCATAATTAGCATAGAAATCATAATAAATAATGGTTACCATGGCAACCAAGATGATCATTATGATCATTTTGACCATAATGAGAATATTAATCATAATAAATGATGGTTGCCATGGCAACCATGATGCTCATTATGATGATTTTGATCATAATTACATATTAATTATAATAAATCATGGTTGCCATGGCAACTATGATTATCATTATGATGATCTTGATCATAATTAGCATATTAATCATATTAAATGATGGTTGCAATCACAACCATGATGATCATTATGATGATTTTGATCATAATTAGCATATTAATTATAATAAATTATGGTTTATATGGCAACTATGATGATCATTATGATGATCTTGGTCATAATTAGCATATTAATCATAAAAAATGATGGTTGCTATGGCAACCATGATGCTCAATATGATGATTTTGATCATAATTAGCATATTAATCATAATAAATAATGGTTGCCATGGCAACTATGATGATCATTATGATGATCTTGATCAAATTTACAATATTAATCATAATAAATTATGGTTGCTATGGCAACTATGATGATCATTATGATGATCTAGATCATAATTAGCATATTAAATATAATAAACGATTGTTGCCATGGCAACCATGATCCTCATTATGATGATTTTGATCATAATTAGCATATTAATCATAATAAATGATGGTTACCATGTCAACAATGAAGATCATTATTATGATCTTGATCATATTTAGCATATTAATCATAATAAATTATGGTTGCTATGGCAACCATGATGCATATTATGATGATTTTGACCATAATTAGCATATTAATCAAAATAAATAATGGTTGCCATGGCAACTATGATGATCATTATGATGATCTTGATCAAATTTACCATATTAATCATAATAAATTATGGTTGCTATGGCAACTATGATGATCATTATGATGATCTTGATCATAATTACCATATTAAATATAATAAATGATTGTTGCCATGGCAACAATGATCCTCATTATGATGATTTTGTTCATAATTAGCATATTAATCATAATAAATGATGGTTACCATGTCAACCATGATGATCATTATGATGATTTTGATCATAATTAGCATATTAATCATAATAAATGATGGTTGCCAGGGCAACCATGATGCTCATTATGATGATCTTGATCATAATTACATATTAATTATAATAAATGATGGTTGCCATGGCAAATATGATGATCATTATGATGAACTTGGTCATAATTAGCATATTAATCATAATAAATGAAGGTTGCTATGGCAACCATGATGCTCATTATGATGTTTTTGATCATAATTAGCATATTAATTATAATAAATTATGGTTAATATGGCAACTATGATGACCATTATGATGATCTTGATCATAATTAGCATATTAATCAATATAAAAAAAAATGGTTGCCATGGCAACTATGATGATCATTATGATGATCTTGAACAAAATTACCATATTAATCATAATAAATTATGGTTGCCATGGTAACTATGATGATCATTATGATGATCTTGATCATAATTACCCTATTAAATATAATAAATGATTGTTGCCATGGCAACCATGATCCTCATTATGATGATTTTGATCATAATTAGCATATTAATCATAATAAATGATGGTTACCATGTCAACCATGAAGATCATTATTATGATCTTGATCATATTCAGCATATTAATCATAATAAATTATGGTTGCCATGCCAACCATGATGCTCATTATGATGGTTTTGACCATAATTAGCATATTAATCATAATAAATGATGGTTGCCAAGGCAACTATGATAATCATTATGATGATGTTGATCAAAATTACATATTCATTATAACAAATGATGGTCGCCATGGCAACTCTAATGATCATTATGATGATCTTGATCATAATTAGCATATATAAAATGATGGTTGCGATGGCAACTATGATGCTCATTATGATGATTTTGATCATAATTAGCATATTAATCATAATAAATCATGGTTACCATGGCAACCATGATGATCATTATGATGATCTTGATCATCATTAGCATATTACTCATAATAAATAATGGTTGCCATGGCAACCATGATGATCATTATGATGATTTTGACTATAATTAGCATATTGATCATAAAAAATGATGGTTGCCATGGCAACTATGATCATCATTATGATGATTTGGATCATAATTAGCATATTATTCATATTAAATGATGGTTGCCATGGCAAGCATGATACCATTTATGATGATTTTGATCATAATTAGCATAATAATCATAATAAATGATGGTTACCATGGCAACCATGATGCTCATTATTATGATTTTGATCATAATTAGCATATTAATCATAATAAATTATGGTTGATATGGCAACTATGATGAACATTATGATGATCTTGATCATAATTAGCATATTAATCATAATAAATTATGGTTGCCATGGCAACTATGATGATCATTATGTTGATCTTGATCATAATTACCATATTAAATATAATTGTTTCGTTCTCTGAACGACTTCGAGGACTGCCCAGCAACCGAGACGAGTTGGCTTTTGCACGATTTATTAGGATGTATGATATATACAACACTTCAGTGTAGTCAAACTAAAATTGAATTAAAATACAAACTATCACTAATTACATACGTTATTTGTATGTCTTAAATTCATCCTTAAATAAAGACTATAAAGTTCATATCTACTTACAACTCGGTATCCTCTCTCGGTTCATCAACGTCTACGTTTCTATGTTTAAGATTTGAATTCTTCTAAATATCTAAGGTTCAATGTTCTAAGGTTCTAAGACTAAGTATCTTTTTGGGCGGCGTATAAGCCGTATTTTATATGCTTTTAGATGAATAAATTACTAACTATTAATTACCTTGTCCTTTTGTACACTAATCCCACTGGTACTTTAAACCACAGGGATGATTACCTAAATCTTAATTATTGACATATGTTCAATTCACTTCCCCTGGGTGCGGAGATACAATCGAGCAACCTATTTTAACGTTCTTCAATTTACAAACGTTCACCCAATTCTTGGTTAGTAGCGATGAGGCATAATTTATGTATAGGTCTATAATATTCTCCCGTCTCAGTCTTGATCTTCGCTTTTCTTACTAGCTGATCCATTCCGGGAAATACTTCTTTTACTATGGCCATTTTCCATTTACGTCTAGGGGTCCCTTCCAATTCTAAAACGATATCTCCTACTTGCAAGTTATTTCTCGCTCGATACCATTTATTTCTAGGGAGCAAGGTTGGCGCGAAATACTTTTGCCATGCACGCCAAAATTCTGTAACTCTCTGCTGCGTACTACGATGTAGATTTCTTGGATTAACTCGCTCTTCGTGTTCTGGCGTTGGTAGTGGCAGATGTGGGCCAATGATGAGTCATTTGGGGTTATAGGTGGTTCTTCCCACACTTCCGATGAACTTGGGTAAAGAGGTCTGCTGTTTACCAATAGGTGATCTCTGCAAGACTCGTCCTCCATTGTTCTTCAGAAAATGGTCGATTTTGGCATGTAGCTGCAATGGCTTGTCGTACCGACTTAATCAAACTCTCGACAACTCCATTCATATGACTTGCTCGAGGAATATTCCATTGCCACTCGAACTGGCACGAAAATTCGTTTGACAGGACTCTTTCGATTTTCCTTTTGTCCCAATTTCTACAAACTTCTGTCAGATATCCTTGTGCCCCTTTGAAGTTTGTCCCGCAGTCTGACCAACATATTGAAGGATGACCACGCAAACTTGCAAATCTTCGAAATGCCATAATGAAAGTATCTGTGCTCTTATCTGTACAAAGTTCGAGATGTATAGCTCGGGACGTCATGCATGTAAATATAATGATTTGCGCTTCTTTCATTGTTTTCCGGTTTAGTTTAACTTGAAATGGTCCAAACATATCTATCGCGGTATGTGAGAATGCTGGACAATTAGGGTTTACTCTGATAGTTGGGATCTGTCCCATAAGTTGTTCTAATGGCCGTGCGCGTAGTTTTCTGCAGGTGACACACGTCCGCGTAAGATGTTTGGCAGTTTTTCGCAACCCGATGATCCAATACTTTCGACGAGCTTCATGGATCAATCTTTGATATCCACAATGTCCTGAAATTTCATGAAGGTGTTTCAGGAGTAACACAACGAGGGGATGATTACGAGGCAGAACAATTGGATTACGCATGTCACGAGGTAGGGTGCGTATCTTCTCTAATCTTCCAAATGCACGTAGAATTCCCTCGTCATCTACTTTCGCTAACAATTTCTTGTCTATCTTGCTAGGGTCTTGTTCTGTTTGCGCCCATTTGCAAAGTAGATTTTCAGATTCTTTAATTTCTTTTACAGATAGTGATCCGGATTTCTTTTGTTTTGTCCTTACGTAATGCGTAAAACGTAGAACGAAGGCTAATGCTCGTCGTGCCTTTCGAAACGTCGAACATGTTTGTAATATATGTTCAAGGACAGGATTTCTTGCCAGTTCTTTAGAAGTCACGTTGCATTGAATTTCTTCTATTCCCCTCGGTTTCTTGACCTTTTTGTATTCCGTCTCAGCTATTTCTTTATTTTCTCTAGTAAGCTCGTTAAGGACAAGAAAGTCGTCATCAGGTAATTTGAGAAATTCTGGACCTTTCATCCATTCATATAGCTGATTATCTGGAATTCCTCGTGTTAGGGCATCTGCGGGATTTTCTTCAGACTTGATATACTTAAAGGTCCCCACGTCAATGGATTCTTGGATTTCAGCTACTCTAGCGGACACAAACGGCTTGAATTTTCTTGGGGAACTTTTAATCCATGTTAACACCGTCTGTGAATCCAACCAGAGCACGGTCTTGCAGCCATCGATCTCGGCTAAAGATAACGCTTCTTTGCAGGTTCGGTAGAGTCTCACGAGGGTAAGGCATCCCATCAGTTCAAGTCTTGGCACTGATTTCTTCTTTAAAGGAGCAACGAACGCTTTCACTATCAGAGGTATGTAAACGAAAGTTCCGTCACTGAGTTTCCATCGTAAGAAGATTACCGATCCATAAGCCTTCTCGCCACCGTCACCGAAGCCGTGGATTTCTGGATTCCCGATGGCCAATTCGGGTCTGAGTTTTCTCTGAAATTCGATAGACAGAAGACCATTCAAACGCTTAATGTTTTTCATCCATTTGCTTTGCATGTCTTCTGAGAGCGGATCGTCTTAGGCATATCCAGAACTCCATAGTTCTTGCAAATAGACTCGTATTTCAATAGTAACAGGAAGGACAAGGCCAATGGGGTCCCAGAATTGGGCGAGGCTTGCAAGACACTTTCGTTTTGTGAGTTGTTTCAGGTCACAGGAAATCTCGTCTTTCTTGAACGTAAACGTATCTTTAAGTTTATTCCAGTAGTGACCGAGGAAGGTTGTAACTTTCTCATCGGTTTGATCAACATTTTCGTGGTTGGAGTGCCACGCTTTCACATCGAATTTGCCGGTTTTCAATATGGCGTCAATACTTTCTGTGATCTTCTTCGCTTGTACTTCATTTCCCTTTGATCCACCGATATCATCGACATAAGCGTGTTTCTGCAGTTCATGGGAAGCTTCAGGCTACTCTGCTTGTGCGGCTCTCGCCAGTGTATTGATCGCGCCAGTTGCAATATCAGGGGCAGGTTTGTCTCCGAAGTTCAGTCGTATCCACTGATAGACTTTCGGTTCTTCGTTTTCGTTTGCTCTCCATAGGAAGCGATGGAACACTTGATTCTTCTGGGTGAATTAATATTTGGTTAAACATTTTACGTACGTCACCCGCATAGGCAACTTGATTTAATCTCCAGGCTGTTAACACATTTGGCAGACTGTTGATGTAATTTGGTCCTTTTTCTAAGTGTTCATTTAGTGATTTTCCGTGCGGTCCTTTGGCAGAGGCGTCAAAGACCAATCTAACTTTAGTCGATCTCTCAGGGGTAAAGACTGCATGCATAGGCAAGTACCATTCTGGTTCTTTATGATTTACCTCTGCTAGTGGAATTTCTACCACGAAATTTTGTTCAATCAATTTGTCCATTTCGTGTTGAATTTCTTGCAGACAGTTCTTTCGTCGAAAACTTCGTTCGGTTGAGAGCATTCTTGCATACGCCATTTCGTAGTTTGAACTCTGTGGGGGACCTGAATCATTCCACGGCATGCGTACTTGTATTCTGCCATCAACCATCTCAGTGGATTCTGTGACTGATTTGATGAATCTATTTTCTTTGAGGGTATTGTCATCACACGTACAGAGTGTAGTAGGTCTCACTCCTAGTAGATCTTGGGTCAGTAAAGTTTTAATATCTTCAATTGCACTGACTGTACCGACATCGACCGAATGGATTCCTGAGCAAGATTGATCATCTACTTGACCAAGTAAATACCACCCGAAGCAATTCTCCTTGGCTATCGGTTCCGCTGGTTTTCCTTGTTTCATATCAATATCGACGAAGGCTTCTGGAAAATCGGTGCCTATGAGTAAATCGACTTTGCCGCCACCAAGATGTAATTTGTTGGAAATCGTTTGTAAATGTTGATACTTATTATGATATGTTTTGAAATTGTTTTCGCAGGGCTACATAAGTTCGTAAGAGTATACACTGACATGTGTTTTTCAAAAGTTTCGTCACGTGGAGACATGACTGTTATATTTAGAAGCTCCGACATTTCGGCTTTTCTTTTACCGCCGGCTAAATTCATAGTGAGGTGTGTTTGACACCCTTTTAGTCCAAGGTTTCTTACGGCATTTTTTGAGATGAAACTGGTATTAGATCCACTATCTATCATGGCTATATATTCTTGGAAATTTCCGTCTACACCTTTGATTTTGATCTTGTGTACGGGTAGTAAGCCAGGTATTTTACTACTGCCTTGTATGTGTGTATTATTAAAGTGTGTGTCTGTGTTATGCTGTTCAGAATCTGGGGGTACTTTATTATTCCCATAACCGTCGTCGTGTAATGATTTATGATGTCTGCGTTCACACTTATTGCAGGACTCACCATCGGGCTTTGAGCAGTTATTTGTGTGATGAGAACATAAACATTTACGGCACCTCTTATGTTTACGAACTATTTCCCACTTTTCATTTACTGACGCGGCTTGATAAGAGGGACAAGCAGTCAATAAATGTTTTGAGTTGCACCCAAGCGGACATACTTTGTCCCTTTTAGGAACTTCTACGGTATGATTCTCCGGTCTTGACTCAAAATTTGATCTCCCACTACGTGAACGTAAAGTGGCTTCATTATTTAACCATGCAATTAAATTTGCGATGCTTTCAACCTTGTGCGCGCGAACCATTTCCCTTCCAAACTCGACATTATCTGCACCGTCTAATTTGGACAATAATTGAGACATGATAAATGGCGCTTCAGCTGAATCTGTAACAGAACATCCATTTTGTTCCATATTGTTCGCAAAGCCTAATATTTTTGCTGCAAAGCGTGCAAGAGATTTTGCATCACTTCTAACAGGTTTAATATTTGTGATGTCTTTAAGAATTTCATCCATTAGCTTTCTTTTGTTATTAAATTCATTATCCAAAATTTCCCAGGCTTTAGTAATAGATTGACTATATTTAACTTGATTTGTCCAGAAAAGGTGTTTTGGAAGCGCTTTGCGTAATCTTTGTAACTGCTCGTCCTGGTCTTGATTGTATTTTTTCATGCAATTATTGAATTCATTCTTCCAAGTTGAATAAGACTTTCTATCACCGTCCCAAATTGGGACGGACAACTTCTCAAGACCATGATTTTGGCTTTTACTTTTACTATCCAAAACATCAACCATTTTCTGTAGAGCCATATTCACATTTCCTAAATGCTCAGTTACATATCCCTGTTCATAGGTTTGTAAATTTGTTTTCGTATCCAAAAGATTTCTCTGATAAGCGGCGAATGACTGCGTGCATTTTAAATAGTCATTTTTAGCCTTTACGCAGGCCTCGTTATTAGATATAACAAGAGGATCATCTGACTGAACTTGATTATCAATAATTTTGTCTTCGATTAGTTCAATTTGCTTCTTAAAAGATCTATACTTTGATTCTATTTCTTTGTATACTTTCTCGATAAGTTCAAGCGCGGGTTTCTGGCTTATAACTACTTGGAACTCTTCAAAAAGTTCATATAAAGAACGCATTGAATTGTCTCTCTTCGCAGCTAATGTTTTCAAGTCCACCTTAGGAGGCATCGTTCTTGAATTGTTACCTTCTCGGCTATCACACAAAATAATAAAGGAATTATTTTACCTTCGAAGTTGTTTACTTAACTCCAAGTTCAAAGGCGATGAATAGCTTGTTTCTTGCCCGCTTGAGTTAATCTTGTAAGTTGTATGCATCAGTAATTACTGTTTGTTCGTCAAATGCCGATCGAGTAAAGCCAAAGTAAAAGGAGATCTAATGATTTTCTTGTATGATTGCATGGCGACTTTAGTAATTATAATAACTTGTAGGTACACCACGTAAGTATTAAATACTGCAAAGCTTTCGGTCCGTTAACCCGGACCTTCATCAGTGCAATTATTTTTATTATTATTATTATTATTATTATTATTATTATTATTATTATTATTATTATTATTATTATTATTATTATTATTATTATTATTATTATTATTATTATTATTATTATTATTATTATTATTATTATTATTATTATTATTATTAATAAAGTTTCCATTATTATTATTATTATTATTATTATTATTATTATTATTATTATTATTATTATTATTATTATTATTATTGCACTGATGAAGGTCCGGGTTAACGGACCGAAAGCTTTGCAGTATTTAATACTTACGTGGTGTACCTACAAGTTATTAAAAGGAGATCTGTTGAACAATCCTCTTTATAACCACGAGTTTTTGACTGTTTCGTTCTCTGAACGACTTCGAGGACTGCCCAGCAACCGAGACGAGTTGGTTTTTGCACGATTTATTAGGATGTATGATATATACAACACTTCAGTGTAGTCAAACTAAAATTGAATTAAAATACAAACTATCACTAATTACATACGTTATTTGTATGTCTTAAATTCATCCTTAAATAAAGACTATAAAGTTCATATCTACTTACAACTCGGTATCCTCTCTCGGTTCATCAACGTCTACGTTTCTATGTTTAAGACTTGAATTCTTCTAAATATCTAAGGTTCAATGTTCTAAGGTTCTAAGACTAAGTATCTTTTTGGGCGGGGTATAAGCCGTATTTTATATGCTTTTAGATGAATAAATTACTAACTATTAATTACCTTGTCCTTTTGTACACTAATCCCACTGGTACTTTAAACCACACTGGGATGATTACCTAAATCTTATTTATTGACATAATGTTCAATTCAATAATAAATGATGGTTGCCATGGCAACCATGATGCTCATTATGATGATCTTGGTCAAAATTACCATATTAATCATAATAAATTATGGTAGCCATGGCAACTATGATGATCATTATGAAGATCTTGATCATAATTACCATATTAATCATAATAAATTATGGTTACCATGGTAACCATGATGCTCATTATGATGATTTTGATCATAATTAGCATAGTAATCATAATAAATGATTGTTACCATGGCAACAAAGATGATCATTATGATCATATTGACCATAATTAGAATATTAATCATAATAAATGATGGTTGCCATGGCAACCATGATGCTCATTATGATGATTTTGTTCATAATTAGCATAGTAATCATAATAAATGATTGTTACCATTGCAACAAAGATGATCATTATGATCATTTTGACCATAATTAGAATATTAATCATAATAAATGATGGTTGCCATGGCAACCATGATGCTCATTATGATGATTTTGATCATAATTACATATTAATTATAATAAATGATAGTTGCCATGGCAACTATGATGATCATTATGATGATCTTGATCATGATTAGCATATTAATCATAATAAATGATGGTTGTTATCGCAACCATGATGATCATTATGATGATTTTTATCATAATTAGCATATTATTTATAATAAATTATGGTTGCCATGGCAACTATGATGATCATTATGATGATTTTTATCATAATTAGCATATTAATTATAATAAATAATGGTTGCCATGGCAACTATGATGCTCATTATTATGGTTTTGATCGTAATTAGCATATTAATCATAATAAATAATGGTTTCCA